AGGCCCACACCGCTGGAGCAGCGCACGGTGCCTGTTGGGTGGCAGCCAGCGGCCTTCGGGGCCTCTCTGAGCTGCGGAGGGGGACACCATTGCGGGAGGGAGCTGTACTGGGGCATCACGGGGGACAACAGCAAGCTCCTGGCAGCCCCGGTAAGGGGAGGATTCAGCTCCCAGGCATGGGGCATCCCCGGCGGGGGCTTCCTTTGTCTTTGACTCCATGGGGACCACGCTGCCTCCTGCCTGTGAGGGCTGATCGGGCGTTACCAACACCTCTTGGCCACCGGGTTGGGGTAATGGCTCCCAGCACCCCAGGGGAGTTTTGTGCTGGGAAAACGCAGGGTTTGGGTCCTTTGGAGCTGGTGGCCGCCTCCGAAAATACCACTGCAGGTGAGCTGCCTGCCCTGAGGCCAGGCAGGGACCCGCTGGTGCTTCACCACCCCCTTTTGTCGTCTTCATTCCCTCTCCCCTCTGTTTTCCCATCTTTCTTCCCCCTGGTCCATTGGGGCCCCTTCCTTTCCTTGCTCTGGGCCTTCCCTCAACGCCCCCGATAAATCCTGCACCATCCAAATGCCCTTGGAGCCGGTGACCCCCGCCAGCACCATCTCTGTGGGATCCCCTCCTTTTCGGTGGCCCTGGGAGCGGCTGAGCCGGGACGCTCCCTTGGCACTGGCCTGGTGACTGGGTCCCTCCGCCTCTGCCCCTTTGTGTTGGTGGAGATTGGCTTTCACCCGCGCAACCCAGCGGGGAATATTTCTGGGAGCCAGGAAATCCGGGTGGTGAGGGGCCAGGGGAGCCTGGGCACCAACCCCCCCGCTGTGGCTGCCAACCCCCTGTGTGACCCAAAGCTCCAAGTGAGGAGATCGAGTGGGGTCGGGAGGGACATGCCCGGGGTCCCAGCCCTCCGGGGGAGGAAATACCCCACGGCGTGGCCGGGGTGGGATGGGCTGGGCTGGGCTGACATCCCTGCAGGTGGGGACCTCCTGGAGCCTGGGGGGGCAGAGAGAGGATTTGTGGGCGTCAGCGCCCTGTGTGTGCGTTTGAGCAGATGATCCTATCCAAGCGCAGCAGAAAATACCAGTGCTGAGGGGCTTCTGGGCACTGCCGGAGCAGGGCAGGGCCTGGGAGCTGAGTGGGAACGTCCTGGGTTGGCGTGGCAAGGTTTGGGCAGCGGGGGGGCTGCAGGGGCGGCTGCTGCT